CACAGATCATCGAGCAGACAGACGAAATCAGCCCGGCATCATTCATGGGGATATTGGGCCGAGACATGGTATGGTTTGCGTGTTGTAGACGGGTGTGGTGACTGTGACTGGCGCAAGCCATTGAGCAACCAGCGAGGCCCTGGGCTGCGTTGTGTCGTAACAGGCTCGGAACGGGACGTGTCTGATGTCGAACATCGGATCTGCCAGGAAGGGGGGCGGCAGGTTGGAGCGGGAGTTAGTAAGCGCGGAGGGTCCACCGGGTCCGAGTGACCATTTTGTGCCTCTCCCCTCTCCACTCTCCCTACCTACCTAGGTATGTATGTAGGTACCAAAGGTAAGGACTGGAAGAACACACTCTATTTAGGTACGTCGCACTGATGTGTAAATGCGGGCAAAGGCCGGCAGACGAGTTGTTATCGAAAATGCTTGCTGCAGAGTGCATTAGGTAGGCAGGCATGTAGTGGCATGGGGTTCGGGGCGTGAGACATGGATTTGCATCTTTGCATCGACGGCGACAATTGGCCGTAGCTGATGGAGAGGATCCGCGTCGAATTTGCCCCGAGCAAAAGTTACGATGTGACGATGCAGAAAGAAGTTAGGGGGGCCAACTGGAAAAGAAAAGAAAGAAAAAAATCTCTGACTTTCCTCGAGGACGGACGAACCACAAGGTGGCGGGGCAGGTAAGCCTCACTCCATACAAGATAGCTTTGGATAGCTTTGGGTGGTGAATCAATCATCGGATATAGGGGATAATGAAGGAAAGCTTTCACAGGTGGGGCCACTCGTTGGCAAGAGGTGGAACATGGGACAAAATGGCGTGTTCAAACTGCCTGGAAGAGCTTGAGGTGTACACATAAACGTATGGACTGAGTGTAAGGATGAATGATATATGGAATAAGGACAGTGTAAGAATGATGTTTAACTGACAATCAGAAGCGAGGCGGGACCGCGAAAGGGTTAAAAAAAGAAAAAGAAAAAGGAAATGTCACAACCGGTGAGCTTCGCCTTTTTTCCCCCTTCCCTTCTCATTATTTTTATTTGTTGTGTGTAGTCGTGAGGGATTATTGTACCTAAGCAGCTGGAGGGGGGACTGGAGAGGGGTGGTGGTGGTGAGACTGAATGAGGATGCAAATTCCTATCGCATCGCATCGTGTACAATTGGGATTAGGTAAGCTCCTGCTTTTCATGCTTCACAGCTGTCCCAGGAACAGCAACTGAGGCGGGCGGGACGGGGGTGGGGTGGAGTGGGGTGGAGGCGACGATGACGGAGAAACTTGAACGAGCTTTGATGGCACAGCTCCGGGTCTCCCTCCTCCCACTGAATCATCTGTTCGGTCAATCACTCAACGACCCCATCACCCTCAGCCAAAAGGTAGGTAATTACACCATGTGAACGGTGCAGTCAGCATCGTCGAGTGCTCTCTTTTTTTTTTTTTTTCTAAAGCACCGCCCTCCCCCACGTCATTCCTTTCTTTGGCCTTCCCTCTCTCCTCTCCTCTCCTCCTTCTCCTCCTCATCATCGTCTTCTTCTTCTTCTCACGTTGATACCCCCCTCCCCCTCTCTTTGTCTTGTCACCTTCGCCTCACACTTGGTTGATTCCCCTTTGCAGCTGCCCTTACTGAGCGCCCCTACCTTACCCCCCAATCTACCCAGGCAGCTCCGTGTTATCCAAAGGTCGGTGCACTTTCCACTTTACTTTCCTCGGCGTGGACGTGTGCCCCGCGTTCCAGGTGCGGTGAGGTGTGCTTTCTGGGACCGCAATTACCCCTCCACGCCAGACATGCCACCTCCCGCCAAGCACTGTGATTGGCTGCTTTGGAGCTATGGACGCCGCCGCTCTCGTCCATCCCACTTGTTGCCGTCAGAAGCACCACGACCTCTCACTCTCGTCTCGTCTCGCATCCCCTCCCACTGTCGCAGTCAGACCACAGCCGACGGCGACGCGCGCAGACTACAATTATTCCCTCACCCATCTCTTCTTATTCTATCTACCTACCTACCTTCCGTCGGCCTCTTCACCAGACTGAGACGGCACCAGTCATCAGCACCAGCTTTATTACATCATTCCTCGTCACCACCACCACCACCGCCTACAGCCATTACGAAAGAACCGCTGAGCTAACCTCGAAAACTTTCTTTAAAGATCGCGATCCTCTACACAAACAAGACCGTTCCACCATTCCCCAACCGCCCACAATGCCTCAAGCTTCCAGCCTTCCCGCCTGGGCCGAGCTCCAGGCTCACCGCGACAATGTTGGCAAGAACTTTGTCCTCAAGGAGGCCTTCGCCAATGACACGGACCGCTTCGCCAAGTTCTCCCGTACCTTCAAGAACTCAGCCTCGGGCACCGACATCCTCTTCGACTTCTCCAAGAACTTCCTGACCGATGAGACCCTCGACCTCCTCGTCAAGCTCGCCGAGCAGGCCGGCGTCGAGAAGAAGCGCGACGCCATGTTTGCCGGTGAAAAGATCAACTTTACAGAGAAGCGCGCCGTCTACCACGCCGCCCTTCGCAACGTCGGCGACTGGGAGATGAAGGTCGACGGTGTCGACGTCATGTCCAAGGAGGGCGGCGTTCGCGACGTCCTCAACCACATGAAGGAGTTCTCCGACCAGGTCCGCTCCGGCGAATGGAAGGGTTTCACCGGCAAGAAGCTCACCAACATCGTCAACATCGGCATCGGAGGTTCCGATCTGTGAGCCCTTCACCCCTCCACCCCAACCCTGATTGCCTGTCTCTAACATCACACAGCGGCCCCGTCATGGTCACTGAGGCTCTCAAGCACTACGGTGCCAAGGACCAGACCCTGCACTTCGTCTCCAATATCGACGGCACTCACATTGCCGAGGCTCTCGCCGACTCGGACCCTGAGACCACCCTGTTCCTCATCGCCTCCAAGACCTTCACCACTGCTGAGACCACCACCAACGCCAACACGGCCAAGTCGTGGTTCCTTGAGAAGACGGACGGCAAGGGTGATATCGCCAAGCACTTCGTCGCCCTGTCCACCAACGAGGAGGAGGTCACCAAGTTCGGCATCGACGCCAAGAACATGTTCGGCTTCGAGAACTGGGTCGGCGGCCGCTACTCTGTCTGGAGTGCCATCGGCCTCAGCGTCGCCATCTACGTCGGCTTCGAGAACTTCCACAAGTTCCTCGCTGGTGCCCACGAGATGGACAAGCACTTCCGCGAGACCCCCTTAAAGGAGAACATCCCCGTCCTCGGCGGTCTCCTGAGTGTGTGGTACTCTGACTTCTTCCAGGCCCAGACTCACCTGGTTGCCCCGTGAGTGGAAACACGGCTCGGAACTCAGTATCACGCGCTGACTTGCAAAACAGCTTCGACCAGTACCTACACCGCTTCCCCGCCTACCTCCAGCAGCTGTCGATGGAGTCCAACGGCAAGAGCATCACCTCAGACGGAACCCCCGCAAAGTACACCACCGGTAAGCAGACGCTACAGCGGGTGCTAGGTGCCGGTCGAGAAACTAACGCTGCATGACAGGCCCTATTCTCTTCGGCGAGCCCTGCACGAACGCCCAGCACTCCTTCTTCCAGCTCGTCCATCAGGGCACCAAGCTCATCCCCGCTGACTTCATCTTGGCCGCCAAGAGCCACAACCCCCTTGCCAACGGCATCCATCAGAAGATGCTTGCTTCCAACTACTTTGCCCAGGCCGAGGCCCTAATGGTTGGCAAGACCGCTGATGAAGTCCGCGCTGAGGGCACTCCCGAGGAGCTTGTGCCCCACAAGATCTTCTTGGGTAACCGCCCTACCACGAGCATCCTGGTCGGTGGCCACATTGGCCCCGCCGAGCTCGGCGCTCTGATCGTCTACTACGAGCACCTTACCTTCACCGAGGCTGCCGTCTGGGACATCAATGCCTTTGACCAGTGGGGTGTTGAGCTTGGCAAAGTTCTTGCTAAGAAGATTCTCAAGTATGTGCCGATGCTACCATGCCGACCTTTTGTAAGGGGCCACGTTGCTAACCGATCCTTTTAGGGAACTTGACGAGCCTGGCAACGGCCAGGGTCACGACGTCTCTACTGGTGGCCTGATCGGAGCCTTCAAGAAGTACTCAAACTTGTAATGACTAACCTGCGCCGCGTTGTTCTTTAGTAGTTTCGAAAATTGGAAATAGGGGGTGTGAAGACATATCCACATTACAAATGAAGCCGGCATTAAAATCCAATAAAGACGTTTACCCATCTTTGAGCAGGACAAGATGCCCGTGGGACTTCGATTTATATGATTTTTGCATGTTACAGTTCCCTCTGACAGATAGGCGAGCGAGCAACCGCAAAAAGCTTGGATAAGGCCTAGCGAGTACGTTGCTTCCCAATCCTCAGCTATCACATTCCCGATACGGTTGCTTCCGCTATTCGAGGGCTTGTAAGTAGGTGACGATGTTGTTGTTGGCCATTTTTCAGCGCTGATTAACGTGGTGACCGCGGGTAGTAAGTTTACAACACCGCCATGGCGGGAGATCGTATTGGCGTGATACCGCGACGGCATGGCCAGAGGTACGGCGTGAGGATACTATCGGACTATTACATCGACTTAGTCAATCTTGGCTGGCTGCAGGTTGAGAAAAACCACGAGATTTTGTTGCTGGATCATCTCAAGGCATGCGAAGGCCATGTCGACTCTGCTACAACTCCAAGAACTGAGAAGTGCCTTAGCAAGGGATGAAAGGCCAACACCCAGCCCGCGCCGATCACCTTGTCTGCGTAATGCTGAGGCTTTCCGATCTGCGACATGTTTGTGGCGGGAGGCCGTAGATACCCTTACAGCCTACATACCTGACTGGCTCTCTAGGACGAATTTCTTAGAATGATGGCGCTGCAGATATGAAGGAGGCGACAGAGACGGGAAGCGGGAGCTGGGCGACTCACGCGACTATGAGACGCGGCACGTTGCAACCAGGTTATCAGGATGCCTCGTCTGCAATCGCACGAGCCCCTCAAAACTGCCGGCAGTCCCACAGGATCGCCGCATCACAATAGTACAGCTCCGGCGCGGATGACTGGGAGACTGTCCTCAATGAGCTGGTGTACGCGGCGAGGAATCGCGATGAGGCAAGTTGATCGATCGCCGGAGCCTCCGAGCCCTACTAAATATCTCCTCCGCCCAACGAGGTATCCCCGCGATTTCCCCCCCTTGCACGGGGAGCCTCTACGGGGAGGGATGGAGACCCGGGTTCTCCTGCTCCTCCTCCTCTATGTAGAGCCGATCAGCGTTTTGTATGGAGTAGGCACGCACGGCGGCACAGAGCGCATGGAATCTTGTTCTCGCGTTTCTCCGTCAAAACTTCTGCTGTCAAAGGCATTCCCAGTCACTATTGTGTACCTGTGCAACCTCAAAAGGGACCGCCTTGTATCCGTACCGCAGTAAACAATGTAATGCTCTACATACTACCGTCAAAGGCATCCCCGCTCAAGGCGGCGTGTGTATATAAACTGCATCACAGTGTCGGACGCTGGGGTTTCTCCAGTGTACGCTCTTTGGCGGAGTTGCTGCAGCAGAGCAGCTCGTCTTGGCTCCACGTTCGATTCTCCACGAAAGGGTGTGCACCTCAATTGAAGACTAGGATCCAAAAAGCATACCCTAAAAATCACATACCTTACGTTCTATCTGTAGCCCCACGAAAACACATTCACTGCTCCACGTACACGTATGTACGCCCTTTGCAGGCACACATAATAGCTATCCGAGGCCGTACTCCGCTGGTTGGTCTGGGTAGCACGATTGGCACTCCCGCCGTCGCCTGTGTGGGGACAGAACAGATGCTTCACTCAGTTGAGTGGATGCCCTCGATGTTGTGCAAAGGGCCGAGGGGGGAGACGCATCTCGGTGCATTTATCTCCCTAACCCCTTCGTCCAGTCGGCGACTCGGCACAGAGGACCGCGTCGGCGTGTCGACCACTACCCCATGTCTGATCCGCTCACTTCTTTGGTGCTGGCTGTTCCTTTGAACCGAAGTGATCGACAAGAGCATGCGCTCGTTGGCAGCGCGCCGCCAACTGTAGCACGAGGGCCCGAACCGATTACAACAAACATTGACATGGTAAAGTAACCAAAGAAACGGGGAAGGAGCACACCTGTAGCCAGCGGCGTACGTGGGCGTGGTGCGCAGAAGACGTCAGCCGTACCGTGCCAAACTCCGGATCATTTGTCCTCATCTCCGCCTCCTGGCCATCCACGGCGAGTGCCGTGCCGCCAAGAGGGTTGTACTGTACCGCCTGACCGCCCGGCGAAGGCCGGCCGCTGCTTGTCGGCTATGTGGTGCTGCCCCAGGCCAAGCGGCCGCCGATTGGTTCTTTTGCAATGGGGGCGAAGGAAGAAAGCGCGCACAGCGCGGCCAAATCCTCTCGCCAGATGCGGGAGGGGCAGGGAGGCCGTGACGAGATGATGAGTCTGCGAGTTGAGTGCTTGATGGAGTGCCGGGCGTCTTTCATCGCCGGGTCATCCATCCAAGGCCACGCCGGAAGACGCTGATCTTTGTGACCTCGGGAGGCCTATATTTCAAATGCTACCGCGCCAACAATAGGCAGCTGATTGCGGTACCGTGAGAGGCAGCTGCTGCAATGGCCAAGTTAGAGACAAGCGCCCCTTCTTCGTGTGGATCGGAGAAAGCCGGCCCCACTCGTGGATGGTGGCACGGCGCAGTCCGGGCAGTTCTCTCTTGTCCAATTTAGTTCAGATGCATGGCTAACTCCATGGGGAACCAACATCCCAAGTGTTAGCCAAACAGCTGCAACCCATGGGGGGGGGGAGATGAGGGGGGCGGGGGGGGCATCGAGTCAGTTTCGGACTACCGAGGTAGTAAGCAAAGCACGATATCACCCTCCCGTTGATGGAAGGGGCGAGTGAGGCCGCCGACGATAACAACCGACGGGGCTGGACTGTGAGCGATTTGTACGTCGACGAGTCCTGAGTGGCCTGGTACCCGAAGAAGAGGCATTTTTGACACCGGGCCGCTCTCAACTTCGGGAGTTCCTCGAGCGAGACTGCCGACAAGACTTCGATGTCCGTCATCTTTCACGGCTCAAACAATGCCGGCGACGATGATGAATGGCATGCACGCACAAAGGCCCGCCTGCTAAGAAGTGGCAAAAATGCAACAAAAAAAAAATAGAAGTAAACATGTCCGGTGCACAGCATCAAAAGGACACAACTCTCGTGGCCAGGCAGACGGACATGGGGTATCCAAACCCCCATTTGTCACCGGCCGGATGTCTGTGGCCAATGATGGTAGCCATGGGGGAGGAGAACGGCGATTCAGAGGCATGTGTCCAGCCGCAGGAACCACCCATCACGACCGCAACAGGCGCGTAACCCACACCCAGTTCCAACCCGCGAATTGCTTGACCCTCGACTGTTGTTGGACTCTCACGTGGAGCCCACCATGGCGTACCCGTCCAGCACGAGGTTCTGCTGATCTATCACCGGCTTTGGGATCATCTGGGGTTATACCCACTCGTTGGCATGCCCTCAACAACTCAAGCATGGCTATGACCACCGTTTATCTTGTGGGAAAGATGCTGTAACCCAGAGTATGGCACATGCAACGAGGGGGAGGGGCTGGGTTAAAGAGAGGCAGTATCTCCTGAACATCTCTGTTGAGGCTCGGCGATCAACGATCATTGATTTGATAATCACCCCCGGAGGAGTTTTGCGATCGCAATAAAGGGGCGTGTAGTCGCAGATATGACAGTATATACATGGCCTTCGACACATGTAATGGCCCGGCATCCTCCGGAACGTTAGACTCGCGACAGTCGGACAAATTTGCTTGTTTGTTAACAGCATGCAATGACGTGGTATCTGGTAGAACTGATTAAACTAACTATGGATGCTCATGTGCCGCAGCTCAACGACATCATGAATGACGGCCGCATTTGAGTTTCTTACGGATCGTGAGTGCGGAAATGCAAGCTGCAACAGATGAGCCAGGGCCAGGGTGTTTGGGCTAAAACTACACCCCGAGGGCTTGTTGCCGTAAGTACCTGCGACACGGAGAAGGCTAAGAGGACCCTTGGTGCCTAGGATTTGCTGGTGCAGAACGAGGGCAAAGACAACAGCCAATCACATCGCACAAACGCACCCTCAGTAAGAAGGGTTCGCGGGGCTTGACAAGGTTTGAGGGGGGTGCGTGCATGGGAAGGGAGCAGTGATGACGCATGCCAAGAGACGACGTCGATGGATGGAGGGGTTTGACTAAGTCTAGTCTGCAATACACTGAGTCTGCTCGTGTCATGGTCCTGACTCTGTGGTGCAATCAGATTGCGAGCACGTGGCTGCAGGAGTCGATTTCCTAGTGGAGGTGATATCTTGGGAACCTCGTAGCGGCGGCGTTAGAACCCGCCATTAATTGGTTGGCGGTTTGAGATGCTTTTCCATCGTAGTACTCCATAACCGTGTGGTGTATGCGTTGCATGTAATATGGCTGGGATGCCCGCCCGTCGCCGCCCAAGAAGCGACCGGCTCCTCCATGTACGCGTATTGCTGTGTTTAGCGCTGTGTCATTGATTAAGCATGGGCTGAGGCGTCAGAGGCGCTCAGCCAGGCAGTGTCAAGCGCTCTGGGGCAGTTCTCTAAATTGCTGGCGGAGATAATGCTGAATCCCATTGTGGTGGACGAGCGACCTATCTCGTAGGGAAGTACTAGTACAGACTTTCGTCCCTCGAATCGCGGCCGGCGTGGTACGCGATGACGGGATCAAGCTTCTTTTCCCTATGTTCGGCTCTGGAAGAGGCGTGCCGGACTTCGCAGTTTACACGTACGTAGCACCCGCGTTAACGAGTTAGGACTCATGGTCCTGCTCCAGGTATGGCGACGTCATTTCGTCCCTTCAATTGTGTGCGCCCTCTGGCAGGTGCGCCGTGGTGCAATGCAGGACAATGCAGGATGCTGCGGGATACCTAGAAAGCGCCTTCAGACGGGTGTCCAAGCTGCAGCCCCCCCGTGGCCCGGTGAGGCTATTTTGTCCAAGGCGGCACCGCGAAACCCAAACTTTGATCAGTGCGGGGGAATGCCCGCCATGGCAATTGCGATGGCGATCGACAACCGATGTCATCGGAGGCTACGGGGCGGGAGCAGCCAGGGGCCGAAGAACCTTGCGACTGGAATCCAACTCTCTAACTCCCGGCCTCCCTCGTGGTGGTGCGAATTGATGGCCGGTGGTTGGTATTTTGCTTGGTTTGTTGGCTGACTGCACGCCATCACACACAGAGCAGCAACAGCCTTTCTATTGTAATGACGACTAGTGTATCTCGATACGCTTTTGTCTGTGCACCTTGGTTACCAGCCTCCTATGTCCTCATCTGAAGTTTGTCGCCAGCCCGATGGCATATTAGACCTGCCATGGCGTAATGGCAGCCGTTATGTATGCGTGCTTCGGCGTGAGATTCGATGTCGCATCAAATAGCTCAGGCCCAAGCGCAACAACAATCGCACGAGAACGAAGCGAGGCATGCAATGAATGAACGACAGCCACATTATCCTTCATTTGCCTTCATTTGCCGCAGTCGACCTGCCCAAGCGGGGTAATTGTCGTCTTTGACAAGGATGAGGCTGCCATCGACAGTTGGTGTTGTTTGCTCGGGGCACCACACCATGTGTGTTCGTCGATAGATGCACAGCGGCGGATGATGGGGATGCCCGGTTGGAAAGACTTGATGCAGTGAGAGGGCGCGACCAGCCGATAACGGGCAGGAATATCATCCATTCCTAGGTAGGTAGTGTCAGATCCTCGGTGATACCGTACCTTAAGGGCATGGCAAGGAGTGGTTGTCGAGACGCTGCCAAATAGACAGACGCTGGTGGCTGAAACATGCCGTGATGGATGGGAAATGTCAACCGGCGGCGGTGCACAGCCCGGTGCTGGACGGAAGAAGAAACCGCCTCTTCTGGGGTTCCCCCCTCATGGACGACGGGCACAAACGGGGGAATTCGGGCCAGACCTGCCGCGGCAGACTCGAGACAGTGACGGCAACTGCATCTGGAAGCTTCGGGTGCACCGTGCTTACCTTGGGGTGAGACGGAAAAACCACCCCACCAAAGAAATGAAGCAAGCCCTCTCCCACCGCTTGGATGCACTGTAGGAGGAAGGTGAGGGCAGGTACAGAGTATACGGAATGTGGCTACGTGCCGTGCCTACCTGTCCCGGAAGGCAGGTACCTACCCACGCGAATACCGGTATACCTATCAAGTACTACTCCGTACTCCGTAGGTGTCAAACAAAATGTGGGCTGTGATGTGACGGCTACATTGAGGAGGGGGCGGTGCGAGCACGAGGAAGGAGCGGAGAAACGGACAAAGGACGGCAGACTACGACGGAAGCGACGTTCGAGACACTGCTTCCCCAATTGTCGATTATTCGTCGATTTGTACCTCCATTCTGGTGGGAAGGTACTCCATACGGACCCAATGTCCGCCCGTCTTGCCTTCCCCCTAAAGTTCATCGTTACCCCATGTATGGAATTGGGCAGAAACGGGCAATCGGTGGGTGGACTCGCTGTCCAAAACGTAAGCACCATCCATTTCTCCCCACTGAAGAAACATAGCGGCCGTTTGGGTGGAGGTACTGTCCAGCCTATATTGCGTAGGAGGGTACAAGTTTGAGCATGTTCCACATGTCTCTCGTCCCAGTTTTCTCCCGTCTCACGAAGTACGATGTACCTGTACATCGTACATTCTGAGTAGTTGAACTGTCATCCTACGCCACAGGGCCGTTTTGGCATAACCAGGCCCGGTTAGGCGACACAGCGGATGAGCTCACGGTGGCTCTTTCCTGAGCCATCGATGATGCATCCATTCGCTGCGTGTGGCGAGAAGAAGGAGAGGATGAAAGGGGAAACACAGAGGGTACACTAGTAAGAGAATCAAATCAGCGCCACATACGAGAGACAAGAAGCGACCCAGCTAGCCGTCAGCGAATCATTCCCAATATCTCGCCAAATCGACGTTCGGGTTCGGGAACAAGGGCAGAATCTCACTTGGCCGCGCCGGCGCGCTGTTTTGGCTTGTTGGTGGAGGGGAGAGCTGCAGCCGTTCGACTGCCAACAGGATCCCAAACTGAGAAAAAAGAATGTGGGAGTCCAGCCGGCGACGTCGTGTCGTCCTCCCGTCATTCCGTCTTTCGTTTGCCCCATCCCATCCAAACGATGAAGTGTCTGTCGGGCTCTGCATTGCATGATCAACCATTGTGTCAACGAATCAGCCAATCGAGACCGCGGGGTTTTTCTCTCCCGTCCCGAGAGGCAGCCCGTTCCAACATTTGGCCAGCAAGGTCCGCCCCCCGTTGTTTCTTCGCTCTGGCTGCAGTCCCGTCAATCGCGGTGACATTTGACTTGTCTATTTTTTCTCATCACCAGTGCAACGTTCACGGCTGGCGAATGGTGTTCCAACCACGGGCCCCCTTTCATCAGCCAAGTGTCAGGCGTGACCGCCCATAACGTCCAGTCATCGTCGCCCCGAACCTCCGCTGCAATCGGCCCCTCTTGGTCACCGCCGGCAGCAACGGACCTTCGTCGACTGGGCGAGGGCGGCAACAGATATCAGAGTGGCCTCGTCTCGACGCGTCGACAAATCACAGCCATGCGTTTGTGGGCGGTATCCCTGTCAGGCGTCGAGACGAGCAGACAAGCCCGACAAACAGCCGCCGGCCGTATTCTATCTACGAGAGATTTGCGGTAATCCGTCCCGTTTCATGGCTAAACCTAGCTAAGCTTCCGACAACATGAGAACAGGTACTGTAGGGCATGACCGAACAGGGTGGGAGGCTGGAGTGGAGGCGCAAGCCGTCGAATCCGCCGAGGAGGGGCCATGGAATGCTGTCCCCTGATTCGACTACGGATCCATACTCAGGTCTCACGATCGATAGAATGTCGCCTTCATCAACTTTTCTGACGAGCTTCCGGTTGATTGTCGGAGGTGGCATCGCATGGATGGGTAGCTTGCGCCGAGTTGTAGACCGACCCTTTCATCAACCACTTAGGTGCCCACCAGGCGACTCATCTATTGAGTACTGACTGCGCGTACAGCTCATAACACAACTACCTCGCGGCGCCTCGGCAATGTCCCACAGCTTCCACCGCTCCCACCGCTCCTTCGGCCCTTTGGCGGGCCGTCAGTCCATTTACTGTATTGTGAGGCGGCGCTGTGATATTCAGGAACAGGCCATGCAGGCGCCAATCTCCGGCATACTCATAGTGCGACTTTATCGGCAACAGGTCGCCGATCCATGATATGTGATCGGAGAGCCCATGATAAGGAAAGAAATGCCTCTTGCTGGCCATGGTAGCCCCTTGGAGCAATGCTAACATTCCCTGTTGCACTGGCTCGTTGGCAAAGTGCATGCGTACGACTCGACGGCTGTCTCATTATCGCACCTGCTATAGAGTTACTGGTCAACAGGTCGCTGCGGCTACCCGAGGTCGCCACATGTTCCTATGCTAGCTGTATATTTAGGTTCCGCGGTTCCAGACAGGATGTTATCGCCATGGCTTTCATACATTTCCGTTCACTCTATCCACCCATTACCCGCGGGCCTTGGAAGAGAGGAAACCTGGATGGAACGAATGTATAGAATTGCATTTTGGCCAAAAGCGGCATCCTGTGGACAGGTAGCAACGGCAACGATGGGAAGTCATCAGGGTCTCGATTGATCTATTTCGGAGCGATAATACTCTCATGCTAAGGCAGGGAGGTATTGAGGCACTAAAAGATCTCACTGTATTTCATTGTGTCATTTTTGGACACACATGCACCCACACGCACGCACCATTACAGGTCTAGGCACATCTGTCGTCCACAGTTCTTAGCACATGTCAGGCTCGTGACGGTCCACAGGTGACCATTTTGGCTTATCATCTCTCTACCCTCCGAAGGGTCATTCACTTCCTCTGGTGCAGTGAGGAGGCCATTTTTGCCTGATGAGTGAGCATCAACAAGGTTCGCTCCTCTTGCAATTCAAATCAGTTACAGAAGGCCTGTTGAATACGTGCTTGTCACATGTTGTAGCCATGTCCAATATGTAATGCGTAATGGTGTCCCGACAGCTCTTGAGCGACCGGTTGGCGGCAGACACAACAATGAAGGGTGTCTTAAATCGTCAAAAGGGACTGATGGATAAAGAGAACCGCCAAAGTACCCCATGAAATCTGACAAGCCGTCCGCATTGTGGTCTAGCACCTTTCCCCTTGGTGTTTCCTCGTGCCATAGCCCCATTCCCCATTCATCCACAATCTGCGTCCCAACCCAGTACAACGGAGGAACTGCACCCCTCCCTTCACGCAAGTTGCATCCCCAAGCCCAGTATGACCTCCGCGCAAGTGGTTTTTTCCATGATGCACCCCCCCTTACCCCTCTGTGGAGATAAGTGGGCTATACACCTCGCTGACGAGATGTTCCATGCTCGTTGGCTCAAGGGGCCATGGCGCCGATGCTGTTTCAATGAAGCGGAGCCTTTCGGACGGGCGACGGGTTGGCCTACGCAGAAAGCCGCTTGTCTATTCGCAGCAATGCCTGGAAATAATGGGGATGATGGCATGGCTGAAGGTGGAAAGGAGGGAAGGGTCTAGTGTGTATGGGGATGCGACGTTATGTCATGGCTTCAGGGCGGCCCTTGACACACCTCACAGCGTGATGCCTGGCCAGAAGTACAGTGTACCTATCCTGGATGATTTCAGGGTGGGGATAGAATACTTCATGGGTACGTATCTTGACGTAGCTGGGTCGTGGAGCAAGATACGTACCCTCATCATCACAGACGACGTATCGCATGGGTCCCCTCCACTGCCCTGGCTTTCCTATTCCAGCCGACGGCCCCATAGTAAATGAGCATTTCACACGTCAAGGCTATCCCAAGGTGCCGTCCTCGAGGCAGTCTCACTCTCATCACATCGTGGTGGCCCTTCTCGTGAAGGCGGCACTCTCAGAAATATAAGTAAACCCTTTCCCCCCGTCCCTCTTGTCCAAATCTACCCATCACTTTCACATCAATACATCAATTTCAACGTTATTGCAATCTGATCGACTTTGCAACATCATTCCTACATTCAATTATCAATTTTCTCATCCCACACTCATCCCACACTCACATCTTACACATATATCCATCATGTCGACACAACAGACCAAGAAGGCCGTCCACTTCGGCGCCGGTAATATCGGCCGTGGATTCGTTGCCTGCTTCCTCCACAACTCCGGCTACGAAGTCGTCTTCGCAGACGTTGCCGACGCTCTCATTGACAAGCTCAACGAGACTCCCTCATACCGGGTTATTGAGGTCGGTGCCGAGGGCACCAACGAGAACACTATCACAAACTACCGCGCCATCAACTCAAGAACTCACGAGGCCGACCTGATCGAGGAGATTGCCACTGCTGATGTTGTCACGTGTTCTGTCGGTCCGAATATCCTGAAATTCATCGCCCCTGTCATCGCCAAGGGTATCGACAAGCGACCCAACAACCTGGCCCCCATCTCTGTCATTGCCTGCGAAAACGCCATTGGCGCAACCGACACCCTTGCTGAGCACATTAAGGAGCCGCGCAACACTGCTCCCCACCGCCTGGAGGATTACCACAAGCGCGCCCGCTTCGCCAACTCTGCCATTGACCGCATTGTCCCTGCACAGGATCCCAACGCCGGCCTGGATGTGACGCTCGAGAAATTTTACGAGTGGGTTGTTGAGCGCACTCCCTTCGAGGAGGTTCCCAGCATTGAGGGTATCAACTGGGTTGATGAGCTCGCTCCCTTCATCGAGCGTAAGCTGTACACTGTCAACACTGGTCACGCTACTGCCGCCTACCACGGATACAACCGCAGCAAGCGCACCGTTTACGATGCTCTTCAGGATAAGACCATCATGGCCGAGGTTCGCAAGGCCCTCGAGGAAACTAGCAACTTGATCATCAGCAAGCACGGCATCGACGAGAATGCGCAACGCGAATATGCCGCCAAGATCATCCGCCGCATTGGCAACCCCCATTTGGAGGACGCTGTCGAGCGTGTTGGCCGTGCGCCGCTCCGTAAGCTCAGCCGCAAGGAACGCTTCATCGGTCCTGCCGTTGAACTTGCTGAGAAGGGTCAGGACTGCTCCGCGCTGCTTCGCGCCGCCGAGATGGCATTCCGTTTTCAAGATGTCGAGGGCGACGATGAGAGCAAAGAGCTTTCTAAGCTGATGTCCGAGAATGGACCCGAGGATGTTGTTGCCAAGGTTTGTGGCATCCAGCCCTCGGAGAAGATCCACCCTATGCTTGTCGAGGTGGTCCGTAAGGTCCAGGCCGACAGCGAGGAATGACTACAAGCGAAGCTATGATGATTGTAACGATTAGCATTGGTCTATCTGGAGTTCGGCATATATCATGGGTTACAGGCGTGGTGTTAGGAATCTTATGTCAGCGCTGATTATGCGCACGGTATATTGACATTTTCAACAGTGTTGTTATGAGGTTTTGGAATATTGGGTTCTTCGCATGAGAACCGTTTAAATTTATATACTTGATCAAATTTCTACATTTGCGTATAAATGAATAAATCAAAAACTTCGTCTAGCTCCACAACTAACTTGCATGTCCAAATAAAATGCAGTCGCAAATATTCAAGTTGTGAATGAATCACAAATATAGTTAAAAACGCGGTTAATAATGTTTGTACAATGCTGCTACAACTGCTGAATCTCGAGCTATTTGTCACCCCTGCTGTCATTTCACCTCGTATAGCCCTTAAAGGAGAACTACGCTCATCGTGAAAGGTACATTTTCAACCTGGCGTGGCGGGAGGTTGATGGAGCAGAGACAGAGCAATCACGGATCTGTGGCTGAAGGAGTGGGCGTGGCTGAGACGATAAGATAAGGAATCGCAACCGGCAAGTCTACGTGGCTCAAAGTGTCTGTGCCTAAGGCAAAAGCCACATCACTCAGGCACCAATCAGCTCCTGAACCTTGAGCGGTAGGGACACATCTGTTGAAGCTCGAAATACCGACTCGGCCAAAATTGCGACTGCCAACAGCTCTGGAAGCCATCAATCCTTACAACACACGCTTCTGAGGCCCCCCCGACTCTCTCTCCGCGACCGGCTTCCAGCGGCCCTGTCTGATATTCCTTCAACCTTCCGATCAGTTGGACTGAAGCGCATGATTCCCTCTCCCGAACGTCCTCACTCAGCGCAAGAACACACCCCACTTCGCTTCTCGAGGATAGCATCGCATTTCCTTTAAGTTTCTCCCTTGCTGGCATAACGTATAGCTGGTCAACATGAAGGTCGACGTGAAGGTAGGCACCATCTCGATTGAACCAAACTCTCCTATGCCTTTGCATAGATAGGAGCTCTGCTATCCAGTCGCCTTGCAAGTTGCAGCTCTACAGCTTTGGCCAGTCTGTAATCCTGTGAATAGCTTCAGTAGACTGACCTATTTTTTCAGCGGCAATTGTTCGCCCGCAGCGAGCGGGTGAAGGGTATCGACTTCCACCCCCAGGAGCCATGGATCCTCACCACATTGTACAGCGGCCACGTCTACATCTGGTCGTACGAGACGCAGCAGATCGTCAAGACATTCGAACTCACCGATGTCCCTGTCCGAGCCGGTCGATTCGTCGCAAGAAAGAACTGGATCGTGTGCGGTTCCGATGACTTCCAGATCCGCGTCTACAACTACAACACGTCGGAAAAGATCACTTCGTTCGAGGCTCACCCGGACTACATTCGCGCCATCGCCGTCCACCCCACACAACCATTCGTGCTGACTGCCTCTGATGACATGACGATCAAGCTTTGGGACTGGGAAAAGGGCTGGAAGTGCGTACAGGTCTTCGAGGGCCATGGACACTACGTTATGGGCCTCGCTATCAACCCCAAAGACACCAACACTTTCGCCTCGGCCTCCCTAGACCGCACCGTCAAGATTTGGAGCCTCGGCTCCGCGACACCCAACTTCACCCTCGAGGCCCACGAGGCCAAGGGTGTCAATCACGTTGACTATTACCCGCATTCTGACAAGCCCTACCTTCTGACGACGTCTGATGACCGCACTGTCAAGGTCTGGGATTACACCACCAAGTCGCTGATTGCCACTCTGGAGGGCCATACGAATAACGTCTCGTTCGCGTGCTATCACCCCGAGCTGCCCGTCATCATCTCCGGCTCCGAAGATGGAACCATCAGGATATGGCACGCCAACACCTACCGATTCGAGCAGTCTTTGAATTACGGCCTGGAGCGCGCATGGTGTGTCTCTTACCAGAAGGGCAAGCAGGGCGTCGCTGTCGGTTTCGACGACGGCGCCGTTGTCGTGAAGCTAGGTCGTGAGGAGCCCGCTGTGTCCATGGACGCATCAGGAAAGCTCGTTTGGGCTCGTCACAACGAGGTGGTTTCCGCCATCATCAAGGGAGGAGGTATGTTGCGGCGTTTCTGGCCTTGCAGTATTGTTACTAACCGATATAGATGCTTCTATCAAGGACAACGAGCCCATTTCCTTGCCCGTTAAAGAGCTTGGTACCTGCGAAGTATACCCCTCGACCTTGGTCCACAACCCGAACGGCCGATTTGTCGCAGTTTGCGGAGACGGCGAGTACATCATCTACACAGCCCTGGCGTGGCGTAACAAGGCTTTTGGTTCTGCACTGGACTTTGTTTGGGCGTCCAAGGAGAACACTAACGACTTTGCCATTCGGGAGTCGGCGACCAGCGTCAAGGTCTACAAGAACTTTGTCGAGAAGGCAGGCGGTCTTGACGTCGGTTTCCAGGCCGATGGCTTGACTGGTGGCGTTCTTCTTGGTGTCAAGGGCCAGGGTGGCATCTCCTTCTTTGACTGGCAGACTGGAGGCCTCGTCAGACGGATTGAGGTTGAGCCTAGAGAGGTATACTCACTATTTGATGCGCCAATTGTTTTGACGAAGCTAACACGGATTAGGTGTACTGGTCTGACAGCGGCGAGCTGGTGGCTCTAGCTTGCGAGGATACTTTCTACGTCCTGCGGTTCTCGCGCGAGGCCTACGTAGAGGGTGTCCAAAGCGGCCAGGTTGACGAAGACGGCGTCGAGTCGGCTTTCGAGGTCATCACTGATATCAACGAGAGGTATTTGATGCTGCTTTGCTATCTGCAAAAAGGATGGAACTGACACGAATACAGCGTCCGAACGGGAGAGTGGGTTGGCGACTGCTTCCTATACACCAACAGCACCAACCGATTGAACTATCTTGTGGGCGACCAGACATACACCGTGTCTCACTTCGACCAGTCTATGTACATCCTGGGCTATATTCAGCGCGATTCAAGGATCTACCTGGCCGACAAGGATGTCGGTGTCACCTCATTCGCGTTGTCCCTGCCCGTCCTCGAGTACCAGACCTTAGTCCTTCGCGATGACATGGAAACTGCGCAGGAGCTTCTGCCCACGATTCCTGCGGACCAGCTCAACAAGATTGCGCGCTTCTTGGAAGGCCAGGGCCACAAGGAGATGGCGCTGGAGGTCGCTACTGACCCTGAGCACAAGTTCGAGCTGGCTCTTGCCCTGGGCCAACTGGACACCGCCCTTGATCTGGCTAGAGAAGCAGACGTCGAGCACAAGTGGAAGACTGTCGGTGACGCTGCGCTTGCCGGGTGGCAAGTGGCCGTGGCACAGGAGTGTTTTACAAACGCAAAGGATCTTGGATCCCTGCTCCTTCTCTACTCGTCCACGTCGGACCGCAGCGGGCTTTCAAGGCTTGCCGAGCAAGCGCAAGAGGCCGGTGCCCACAACGTCGCATTCAGCTGCAAGTGGCTGCTGGGCGACGTCGCTGGCTGTGTCGAGATTCTTATCAAGACTGGTCGTTTGGCCGAGGCTGTCCTCTTCTCGCAAACATATAAGCCTAGCTTGACGGCAGATGTCGTCAAGGAATGGAAGGATAACCTCGAGAAAAACAAGAAGGGCCGCGTCGCTAAGATGATCGGTGCCCCAGTAGAGGACGAGGAGCTGTTCCCCGAATGGGACGAGTGGCTGCAGCTCGAGAAGCAGGGCGGCACGGCGCCCGAGGTAACTGAGGTCAAGAAGGTCAACGGCACAGAATCACCCGAGGTCGCAGAGGAAGAAGCGGACGAGGCCGAGGAGGAAGTCGACGAGGAAGAGGCCGAGGCGGAAGAGGATGAGGAGTAGGAAGCCGTGTGCTCGGCGTCTCATAACGCAACTTGATTAGGGATAGTGCGGGGATCGCAAAAGGCCTAGATGTCGAAGTTTTGGTCCTGCCTCGACGGGCGTTGACGGTAATGATCATGCCTTGAAAATAAATGGAAGCTGTTTTTTTCGTACGTCATTGCTGCTGCTGCTGCTGCTGCTGCTGCGACTCAATCCGGAGATACCCTGGCCCTACATATTGCGTTCTTATAAATTTCTTTCGAAGACCCTGTGCGCGGCCATTAACTCGAGCGTCATGGAGGCGAGTCAGACTAGTCTTGTCTAACGTGGGCATTGCTGTGCATATAACGTGGACAAGACTGCCGACTTTGCTGAGGGAAGAGTACCTCTTGGGTTCATACAAGTTACACGGCTGTGCTTCCTTGGATCGCTAACTGCCCGGGCTACTTTGTTTGTTCAATAGATCAAGCTGACCTTACCCTTCGAAGATGTCCTCAAAGCCCAGTCCTCGACTCTGTCAATTCCCCACATGGCGGTTAAAACATGCCTCGTGAACTCGTCCACCTCTGCCGCCGCCACCTCCCGCAAGAGCCTTTCTCCGTGGACTGAAGGTATAAAAAAGTCTGGCTCCGTGTCTCCGGCGAGGGCAGGGTTGCCGTCTTTCCGGGCCAAATCCTTGCGACGCATAGCCGCCCATTGGGGCGCCGACATCGCGTCCCACAGCCCGGCTCGGGCGGTGAACTGAGCGTAGCCGGCGCACTCGCCCCAGCGGCCCTTGAGAGCGTAGTAGATGCCGATGGCGCACGATACGAGGATCCATGTACGGCGGATAGACTCGGAGAGAACCCAGAGTTTCCAGACCATGAGGTCCGTTTCAAACGTATCTTGACGTGCATGCTGATCACTGATGTCCTCTGTTGCCGCCGCCGCCGCCGCAGCGGCAGCGGCCGAGGTGGCGACTTGCTGGGAGGCTGAGAGGCTGGGGTTACTCGGGTAGAACTCGGAGGACGGGGGCATCCAGGCCTGCGAAATAGAGTCCACGTCCGCGAGGGCGGACTCCCAGAGCTGTTTGCACCAAAGTTCCAGAGTGGGTAAAAGGTCCTCGGCGGCGGCGCGCTGGCTCACGGAGCCATCATACAGGCGGATGACGGTGTACACGTATAATGCGTGGACGCGGGCCAGATGGTCTTTCGTCTCAAGCACCGTGGCGGAGGGCGTGCCATCGACGCTGACAGCAGGCTGGCTGGCCACGAGGGCCGTGGCGCGCTCGTCGAGGACGCGGTAGACGAATGTTTCATTCAGCGACGTCTTGGCGTAGTACGCCGAGGCCGTGGTGAAGGCGTCCTGGATGCACTTGGGGAGATGGCCGCTCTCGACGTAGAGGCTGCGGTGGATAAAGGGGTTGTGGCCTTCCGTGACCCAGCGCCGGACCCAGGCTTGCTGGCCTCGGTTGAAGTTGGTCATCACGGAGACAGGGTAGCTGGCCTGGGACGGGGTGGGATAGTGCTCGATGCTCCATGTCGAGGGAGTGAGGAACCACTTGCTCTCGTCGAGCGAAGACGCAACTGGGTTCTTGGCGTGCTGTGGGATGTGAGTCTGGGTCGTGGGCTGTGGCGGGCTTCTCGCGGGTAGGAGTTGCGGTGCGGCGAATCCCGAGGCGGCTTGCGGGCTCGGGGCGAAATCCAGGCCCGTCCACGGCATGCTCCAGGCACCAGTCACGAGACTTGCGGCATCGAATGTCAACGTGTCCGCCATCGTGTTCAGGTCGGGCTGTGGTGCGGGAGGCTCGGGGAACGGTCCCTGACGTTGAAGATGCCGCCGTCTCTGTGTTGCAGGGTATCGGCAGTCTATGTCCCTGTCATCGCAGCGGCTACACGAGGGCGCTCCCTTGTCGCAGCGGCGTTTTGATTCTGTACAGGCTATACAAGCCTTCTGCTTGATAATTCTAGCCATTTTTCTTCTTCTAAAATCGGTCGATGAGGGCATCGAATATTGCAACAATGAGTGAAGCCTGCATATGGCATTGGCTGTGGACCTGGACGAGTAGCATCTTGGAATACGCGCAGCTGTTTGTCATCAAGACCTGTCAACGTTATTGGCCCCGCGTCTAAGAAACAAATAAATGCATTGCGGGAATGATGGGTATATTTGTCAGCCGTCAAAGACGCGAGCGCACGCTGCGGATTCGGTGTAAGCAGAAGCAGCCCCTCCCCCAAAACAAGCGCCGGTGCGGGTTTTGCGGGGGTTTGCGGGGGTTTTGCGGGTTTCGGGCGGAAGACTTGCGGAAGAATTGCGGTAAACCAGCGGGAGCCGTGACCGCAAAATGACGACTTGCCAGTCGGAGCCAAACCTTCATCTCGGATGATGACAAACACTGGACCTTTATCGAAAATCCAGTGTCTCGCCATCTTGCAGGGCCGAGACGATAGCATGAACGACTGCCAAAGCCTGGCCGCGACGAAAGGATAATATAAAAAAGATGATTGTCTCCGTGGGCACTCTACAATTTCGAAATCCAACATCAATACCTTATTCATTACTATCCACACTAGAACACCCATCCCAATCGACATATCCTTAGCACAGCAAGTCGTTGAATCCTTAAAACGCCCTACCAGCCAAAGACTCACAATGGACCCATTCTCAGCTGTCGCAAACTCCAATTCCCCCTTCCAAACCGGGATGAACTTTACCAAAACGATCCACAAAAAGCCTTACCCAGCCATCTTACCTTCCCGTCCAGAGCTCTCCCAGAAGGGGCGCACGATCCTCATCACTGGTGGCTCCGCGGGTATCGGCTTTGCCATTGCCCAGAGCTTTGCACAGGCCGGAGCGAAGCGTGTCATCATCCTTGGCCGTCGCCAAAACCTTGTTGATGAGGCCGTCTCCAAACTCGAGAAAGAATACCAGAGCGTTCAGTTCAGTGGGTTCTCAAGCGATGTGAACGACCTCGGAGACAACGAGAAGCTTTGGAAGGGCTTCGAAGAGGATGGGACCGTCATCGATGTCCTGGTGCTTAACGCCGCTAAGATATCCAATGATGGTTCCATTCTGGCTTTGGGGAGGGATTATGTCTGGGACTCCTTTACGATGAACGTCCGCTCGCTGTTGGACCTCTCGGAGAGATTCTACAATCAGAAGAATGGCGAGGGTCGTCAAAAGGTACGTTTCACAATGTCTCCATAGAAAAGAGTACAACGCAACCGATTGACTGATACTCTCCTCCCAGTTTCTTGTCAACATATCCACTGAGGCCATCCATAATTTTCAGAAATCAGGCCCTTGGCCTGCCTACAGCGCCAGTAAGAACGCGGGAACGCTCCTGATCCAGATGATCGCCAAAGACACGCCGCCCGAGGACATGCAAATCATCAACTTCCATCCGGGGTTGGTTCGAACCTCCCTCTTCATCGAAGCTGGAGTCCCAGCAGAATCTCTTCCATTTGATGATGGTGAGCTCATTCATAAAACAGCATGTTCTGGGGGCATCTTTGACTAATTACCTTCGCCTGCAGTTGCTCTGCCTGGAAACTATGCCGTCTGGGCCGCGTCCGAGGAGGCGCGCTTCCTGCATGGCCGCTTTGTCTGGGCGAAGTGGGACGTTGAGGAGTTGAAGACGGGCGAGATAGGGAACAAGATCCGGGAGAATGATCATTACCTCAAGGTTGGTGTTGTTGGGCTTCAAGAGTAATCTGTCACGATAGCTTCGCACATGACTAGCATTGCACAGTAGCCTTCTCATGTGTCATCTCACGTGGCGTGTCATTCATTGCTCGTATTACCTCACTATATATAGAGAAACTCTTTTCATGTCTTCACTTTCATAGACTTAAGTCGTTCATATCCTTATTCTCATATGCCCTGCTGGGTGCTCGAACTCGTGACATAAAGGACCCAACGTATAGGGGCTTGGAACACATTCAGAGCTAGATAGAGGACATTCGGCATCTGAAATAGTAAGGACAGTAACACTGGGGTTTCAATACCTTCTAATGATATATTTCCAAGAGCGTAGATGAAGTTTTCTATTAACATAGCTGTCGTAGAACGAAATCAAAATGATTACTGCGAGGGTTTGCACCACTCATCAAGCCCGTTACTTGAGCGACGTCTAATTTGGTCGTTTAGCAATGAGGTTTTTGAGTAATTAACTACAAACAGCCAACATAATTCTTCGTATCTGGATGCTACTCTGCTTCAAATTGGGGAATTTTAGACCGGTTGGAGTAAAGAGGCTCTGCTAAGTGACCGGAAGGAGGCTTGATTTGCCAAGACAACATGGCTTAGGGCTGTAACAGTAGTTTAAAGAAGGCTGCGGGGACAATAGTCCTGGTTGGAGTCCTGGCAGCTTCTTTTAATCACCCTCCGCCGTAATTATAATTTTAATCTGCTGGTTTGATGAGAGCATCCACATTTGAATCGATCTTGAATGCTGTGACGTAAAACAGCAATTGTTTTGAGTGGCTCCATAATGGACAACTTCTTACCTCAGATATAGCCAAATGACGGGTGCATGGAATTGGGGCACAACAAACGCCATTATCAGGAGCGTAAGCATGTACATGCTGATTCTGCCACTTGGTTATACTTCACGCTCTTTCAAGGCAGCTGAAGAAACACTGACGTTTGATACTTTTCCCTTTCCCTTTGGGACAGATGTAATAACCCAGTTCTGTTCTAGACAGAACAAAGGCTAGCTCGACTACTAGCAGAGCCACTTCCCCCTTTGATTAGTGTTGCTTGCCAAAGGTGCACTAAAGCTTGTTTGAACCAGGAACACTATCTGCCCACACCGGTCACCAAACTGGGTTAGGCATGCAGTATATGGGTGACAAGAAATAAAAACCGTGGTTCGCACGCCTTTACTGTATTGTTGCATCCACACTTGACTATTTACATCCCGGCTCATAATCATCTCTAGCTGCTTGGTCATCTTTGGTGAGCTATTTACAGACTGCAACACGCACCTGATGATCGAGTAATAAGAGATAGAGGATAAACAGCAGGTTGTTTCATTGGACTAGACGTTTGTCATCGTGTTTAGTGATTAAACCTAGTCTAAGAAACACAGATAGGTGGAGCTCCAGCCTAACCGGAAGATCTTCCGACCCCCTGAATTGTGGCCGGCGTTCCTTCTTCGTCCGAGCGTACGCCATGATCCATCGAACATGCAGCTATTCTCCGCACTGACAGTGTCACTCACCTACAAGTCTTTTGATTCTTGGCGACACTTATGATCCTGAGAAGCCTAGCTAAGCACTAGGTGAAGCACAGCCTCGGGTGGCGGCGGCGGGGTTCAGCCAGAAATTCCAATTCTCATGCTTGAAATTAAGCTTCAAAACGGGAGTTAGGGGTAATTTTCAGCCTCAGTGATACTTAAAGAGCCAAATATTGCGCTTCCCAACACCCCATGCTCCTTCATCTTCCCAGCTGCAAATCAGTATCCAAGACGATATCGAGTCCTCACACTCTATTTGTTACCAATACCTCAGTCTTTACCATCCTCATTCTCGTCCTTCGTTCCACAATGTATGTCAAGACCGCCCTTGTCGCCGCTCTCACCGGCTCGGCCACTGCCGTCTTCGATGTCAGACCAGATCGCATCCGCCGTGAGGTGCTCCCCCGTCAAACCGACATTGCTGCCGACCCGTGCCTCAACTTCCTCAACACAGTCTACGCCAACGCGCCCACCCCCCCTCCCAAGATCGTCTCCTACGAGATGACCGCCCCTCATCAGACCGACCCTTGCAGCATCACTGTGCCTGCTGAGCTCAGCGCCGACTACTCCAGCTACACCTCGGAGGTCCTCAGCTGGGTCGACGCCAACTCGGCTTCCATCCAGTCTGCCTTGTCTGTGTGCTCTACAATCACCGACCTTTCCGCCTCTGTCCCTGTCTGCTCGGCTACATCAGGTAGTACTGGAGGCGGTTCTGCCGCCTCTGGTTCTTCATCTCCCAAGGCCACTGAGGGTGGCGACTCGCCCGAGTCCGGAACTGGTGCCGCCGCAGGCAGCAAGGCCACCGGGACCCGCAACAGCCCTTCGCAGGTCACCCCGAATGCCGGGCCGCGTGAGACAGGTATGGTGGCTGCTGCGATTGTGGCCGCTGGGTTCATTGGCGTCGCTGTTTTCTTGTGAATAGGGTCAAAGCATGACGTTGTGCGACTGGGACAGGTCATGGTCCCGTGTAAAGACTTCAAAATTATATACGTGCGCCTGGACTCAAAGTTATTTACAAGAATGTAGTCATCGCCTTTCATATCCTATGTATTGCCCCTTTACTGAGATCGGGAAGCCAGCGGAGCCAAGTCCTTGGTTTCTGCAATAATTTTACATCATAAACCCCTATGCCTACTCGAAAGGTCTGACCTTCCAAGGCGTAGCCACTGCCAAAGGCGTGGTGCATGTTGCCGCCAGCGCGGCTTTGGCCTCGGAGCTATTTGATGATATGCAAGGTGTGCCAATGTCACCCTTTACACCGTCGCAGAGAATGACAGGGTCACCGCCACAAGGGGTGGTAATGTTGAAGTTCTTGAACTTGATGTTGTCGCAGACGGCGTTGGGGTTGGTCGAGCAGGTCAATTTGGCGACGGCTCGGCCGTACTTGCCGCTGGTGTATCCCGAAAAGTTCTCAAAAAGGATGTTGCTAATGTTCATCTGCGAGGGATACGCCGCGCAGGTAGACGAGTTGATGTTGAAGTAGCATGAATCGATAAAGGCCGTATACTCGTTGTTGGCCTGCCAGAAGTTCCGGAAGGTAACGTTGTCGATGAATCCATAGCCAATGTTAGGACCAGCCCAAGTCTTGAGGCGAGCGCCGTGCTGACCGTTGAGCATCCACACGTTTTCTATGACGACGTCCTGCACGAAACTCTTCTCGCCAACGTACTGCCCCAGGGACCCGATGGATTGGCCGTGAGTGCCGTTGCAGTACATGGTGTCGACGTGGACATTCGTCGCGTTGGACTTGGGCGAGAAGCAGTCGTCGCCAATGTTCACCCAGGCGCGCTTAACGCGAACGTCTTCGACGTTGAGCGAGTCGAAGAAATCGGTGTTCTTTGGCTCAGCAGTATGGTTGTTGGTCTCGGCAGTGA